TTTTCTTTACCTAAGCCTTCAATTTCACATTTTGATTTGAACATTTTGTTCACAGATACACTATTGCTGAGAAACAATAATATATTCTGGATTTTATAAAAAAAACAAGATAGGAACAGCTACGCTTATTAAGTAGAAGGGTGTAGCATAAATGGTAGCATCGTATGAGGAAACTGCATGTTAAAGACCCAGGAACAGACCTACAGGTACCCTACCTACCCTAAATTGAGCCTGTGTCAGGGCACACCTTTCTTACCAGTGGACTGACATGGAAAATTCAAGGGCGTTACTTGATGTAATCTTTTTCTAGCTTTCACTCACTCTTTCAATGTCTCTTTTAGTTTCTATCAAAACCACATAATCAATTCACCATCTATAAGACTGCAACGATGTGAGTAGACAACCTCTGTCTGCACTCTCGGCCTTTAATTGGCTTCCAAATAGGCACAACAAATTCCCTGATAATCTTGTGAAAATGCAGGTGTAGTTGGCCTATTGTAGAATTCACAATCTGTGGTATAGATATGCACACTGCTCCCTTATTATATACAGTAGTTCATTCCTCAGATGAAGGTATCTGGGGGCTGGGATCTTGTATGGAGAGCTGTCTCTTTAGGATTTTGTCCACAGATTCCAGAACTAAAAAGATCAGCCTTTTCAGAATATCTCCCCTGAAGGTGTGTTGAAAGTCCCTCCTGGAGTGTCTGAATAGGTCTTTTACCAAATCTACAGGGACAAATATTTACCCAAGACACTGATTTAGGTAATTTTGTGAGTATGTTCAAACTGTTTAAGAAAGCTAGGGCCATAGAGTATTAGCAACCATTAATTTCTTGTAGCACAAGACGTTTTTACTTTTCGAATACAGATATACAGTAGATGTGGTATTTGAGTTTCTTTATAGTTCATTGGCCTGCTTGCAAGTACTACAATGTTTGTAATATTGTGTATGAATTTGTAATCAAAGCTTGTTGTGTTTCAACGTATAATGTAACACATCACTTGTGTAAATGATCACAATGGAATTGATTCTGATCATTAGAAATTGGTGATTAATCAGTGATTTCTGATCTAGATCTATTCAACCAGGCAGTATCACTCATCTACAGAATCAATGTGAAAAAGTCACACTTAAAGAAAAAAGGATGTGGCTATATTACCTCCTAGTCTTCCTTTGTTCTGCTGTTCTGCTTCCCCACCTTTGTAGCAGTTGGGTAACTTGTAACTATCTTCAATGTTGGCGTAAATCTCTTCCATGTTTTAATGTTCAGCTTCTGTCAATGCAGATTGACATGAGTCCAACACAGCACAGGAGATACTGGTTGTCACTACTGACAGCTGAAAAAGCCAAGCCTGACTTTATAAGGAAATAAGAAAACCCCCCTTTTTCTCTTTAATATATTTAACATGTCCTGTGCACTGACCTTGTGATCTCACCACAGGTTCAGTTCTTCCTCTGTTCTTCTGGTGATGCAAATGTTGATACTTTCTCATGCATCATCACTGTAGAAATATGAGGGCTGTGGTCTGATTTCTGCTCTTGAATTCAGAGCAGCACTGGAAATACAAGCGATCATTACACGAAAGAGATGAGCTCTTATAAGGAAGTAACAGAACACCTGTTTGGTCTGAGACTTAAAATACTCTGTGCACTGAAGTTGTGGTTTTACCACAGTTAGGTTCTGCCTCTGTTCTTCTGATGCTGAAATTGTCAGTTATCTTCCTGCACTATCAGTAGTTATATCAATTGCTCTGAGTAGTGTCTTTTCTTTGGTAACTATTCTTAAATCCTTAATAGAAAAGTCACGTCATGTCATGTCATTTGACAAACTGCTTTATACCATACGTTGTCAGGGGAGAAAAGTTGTATTAATTTATTGCTCCTGAACCCTTCACATGTCCATAAACTTAGCCCCCAGCTGGTCTGTTTCCTTGGCAACCAGTGTTGCATACCCCACAGAGCAGGAGCCAGGGCAGGCATGGCAACAACAATCAAACATATTCAGGCATAGAAAAAAAAAGAGCTTCTTCAGTTTTCGAGAAGTTCTGAGTCCAAAATAACTTCTGAAGGTTTTTTAGAAGTATAGAAGAAGAGGAACTGAAAACTGTGTTTCATGAAAAAACATGATTACCAGTTACCATTACAAGTTCCTCTTGGGATACCTTGTTAATAGAACACCAATTTTTAATGTAATCTTTTACACACCTGTTTGTGCAGTTTAGCTCTGCTGACATTTGCATGAAGCCTAGAGAAGTAAAGGAAGGACTGTAACTGGAAGGTAAGAGGGTGCATGTGGGAACACATGGAGGAATCGCATTTATAACTGAGATTAGGAGGCAGTTCGTTAACCCATGGGTTGTAGGAGTTTGGAGCAAGCTACCTATCCATGCTGTAGTAGCTGATGCCCTTTCTTCTTTCAAGAAACAGCTGCATTGTAACGGACAGTTCTTTCCAGACCCTATGCAGACGACACAATCCGGGGTTGAGTGAGAATACACGAGGAAAAAAGGTATGCAGGAAGCGGGGATGAAAACAGGGGGGCATGTCCATGAAGTGCTGGTGGTCGGGGGAGGTGTTGCCGAGGCAAACAATCCAAAACAGAGTCCAATGCAAAATCCAGGAAAAGCGAAAGGTCCAAAGCCTTTTTCGGGCGGTCCATCCGATACTGAGAGTTAAAAAATGGAACCGGGACTGAACCGGCGGGGGGAACAGAGACTTAAAAACATAACGGAGCCAGGCGATTACAGGTCCTGGGCTCGCACGATATGGGAATCAGAGCAGAGCCCCGAACTGCGTGGGTGTCTGGCTTTTAAGGGGGGCGGGAAGGAGGCTGGAACATGGGGCAGGTGCACAAAATTAGGTCCGAAGTGAAAAGAACCGGAGTGCCCTTAAGGAGGAGGGACTATAATCGTGACATGAATGAGACCTTCTAGTCAATTAACTACACTGGCTAGATGGAGAGTATAGCCTCCTGCGATCTTCATATGTTCTTATGAGACCTTGCCTCAGGCTACATCCAAGGTTGTTCAGCCTGGGTCAGATTTGTTATAGCAAGATTGGGAAAGATGTTTTGCAAATGTCAGTACTAAGTACCAACCTACTAGATGACTATCCTGAGCAGACTCTGCATATGGTATAACCCATATCATTATTCCTTACATGCTGTCTGTGTACAGCTGTCTTCAGCATATGTCCTGATTACATCTGTAAGGTATCGATGGATCTAGCAAGTCATTAGTTCAATAAAGAGACTACACAGATTTTAGTCCTACATTATCTCTAAATGGTTTAGTTCACCAACCTGTTTAATTGATAACAATGGATTTATTCCTGGATGATAGAACCTTTTAACTTGTCCTTGTAACCCCCGAGTGAATGAACAGTCATTTGTATCACAGCAGATAATTTCAGAAGTACATTCTGTAATGTTTGTTGCAATGTATGCATATTCTGGCTTTATACTGTACCAATGAATTGTATACTGTACTGTACATTTAAAATCAATGTGTGAGACTATCACTTGCTATGTTTGAATGATTCCTAAAAGTTACAAAGTACTTCTGCAATTAACCATTAGATTTTCTGATTGTTACAATACATTAAAACCCCAGCATCACTACAGTCTTATACCTTCTTGTCAGCAATATCTGATTTTGTTCTCACAGGGGGCTGCAGTAATTGTAAAAGTTGTTGATGTTATTGCGGTTGTAGAGCAAGCATTGGATATTGGTGCAGTAGCAGTGGACCCTGGTGCTTTAGCAGAGGACGCATTCAATGCTGGTGCAGTTGTGGTTGAAGTGACAGTGGTTTTGTCCTTCAAGGGCACATGGGGGCTAGGCTTGAGCTCAATATGCTCTCCAGGAAGCTCTCCTTCCTGAGCTGAGGCTGCAGACGAAGGGGCCACTGTGGTTGCCAGTGATGGCTGACCAGTCAACATCAATGACACTGGCCTGAATCCAGATGGAGCCCTGCTTACAGACTAGGGGACTCCCTGAGTCTCTCTGCAGGAAGGGCCAGAGAGAGAGTGTGGGAGCCAGCTGGAGAAAGAGACAGATACAGGTTTAGAGTATCAACAGATCAAGGTTAATTGATTTATTGCCTACTCCAGGTCCATTAGCTTTGTACAGATGCTGTTAGATGAGGACACATTCTCACAAGAGTTGATTCTTATCTACAATTTGTTAAGGACTAGATTTTCTAAAAAAACAGATACAGATGCAACCATTCAAAATGCACGGTACAACCCCTTACCACGCAAAATTATTTACAATTCACCGCGTGTTCCGCAGTACGTGATAGGCTGGCCAAAATGATCGACGGGGCACTCGTGGTGCATTGGTCGTTAGTGAAAAGATTTAATAATTTAATCTCTTTACTGTGCTTGTTTTAATCCACTTAATATTGAATATTTATATGGAATTTTACAACGAAAGGGAAATTTTAGTAGCTGAGCATAAAAAGAAGAGGAGCATAACGCATCTGAAGGCCATAAACGATATTAATTTAGGAACATAAATATATTATGCAAACTGTAGTTCAGGTGGGTAACTACATCAGCATGCGTAGGCTGCAAAGGAACAATAAATAGTTTTATTCCATGCTGGAAAGAGAAGAAAGGAAACACATTGGGAACACATTCGTTTTCGAGCAGGTAATTGCTCACTTCTGCTGCTGTAGAGTGTTTTGGAATCTCCATGCTCTCCCTGCAGAGTTATCAACAATGAAAATGTCTCTGGAATAGGCATACTGTACTGTATAAATGATAAAGCGGAGGCTATGGAGAAAACAAATCACAATGGAAAGCAACTGATTTGACATGTACAGTAAATGTGACACCTGTGATGCGTTGAGTGCATCTCCTTCAGTGTAAGCACATTTGCAAGGCTATTAAAAAAGGTTGATCGAGTTTCAGTCTGGGTGTGGCGAGTTTTGACTGTTTCCTGCCAGTCTTGGGGGAAAGGAACTTGTCTTTCATCGGAAGGTTGGCCTATTCTAATCATACATGAGAATATAGGGGAGAAGGAAAAGTGCCTGTGGTCATTGTTTTCACTGACACTGTTAACACAAACTCTGCTTAACAGATCCGCTTGTAAGAGCATGGTGACTTTCTGCTATCTTAATTTAGCAGGATTGGCACGATAAACACATTGTTTAATGCGGATGATATTACCCATGTCTTAATCACTGTACAACACAGGTTTGAGGCAGAGTGTCTGTTAATAAAACAGAGCGCCTTCCAATAAATATAACTACTGCAGGATTTCTTTATCCACTGCAGCTAAATGAGGGAAATTAAATCAGTCAGAATCTCGGAGTGCCAATTGTAAAAATAATCCTTCTTCCCTCCTTTGTTTGAATTTCGCAAAGAAATCCTGAATCACAATACCATCACTTATCCAGATACACAAATTCACGGCAGAGCCAACAATAAGCTATAATAGTGGACTATTTTTATGTATTCACTATATAAGGAACAAACCATAAGTAATGCTCTGATCGTGCTTTGAACCATTGGGTGCAGTGCTTTGTCCATTACCACTACAAGGACAATAAAAGTTTTTTTAAAAGTCAAGGATGTCAAAATGTTTCCGAAATGTCCACCTGTGATATTTTAGCTGCTTAGTTACAGGATTCCATATTCATATAACTATCAAGTGATGTTAAATCACAACAACATTTATCTTTTTACAATAACAGCAAGTGGTGTTCTTACTACATGTATTTTTTCTTAAAAAATGATAAAACATTAAAACTTTTTAAGTACACAATATAAGCTTAATAATGTTCGAACAAGCATGTTAAAACCAGAACCCACTAAGTTACCAAGTTAAAGACACTGATGCGTAAAATATTTATAAATAATTAAATCATTTATGATGAAGGTGGGAGGTTATGTACTTTTGTCCAACTGTGCAATCTTGCTTTTATAAAAAATAACGACTTTTTAATGTTTAATGATTAACTTGCAGTAATACACAGTTTAAAATTATTAAAAGTCAAAAGAGTATACAGCTTAAATTCTTAATTGGAAAAGTATTGTCCCTCTGCAGTGATTGGGATTCGAACCGGGCGTTTTTTTGTGACAGCTCAAATGCTGTACATGGGACATTAAGCTTTATTAACTCCACCTGGCGGTTTTACAAGGTGCTTCCGGATACTATTATCATAATTCAATTAAAATACGGTATAATGCAGTATGATGTGCCACACCTACCACGTTTTAATGCAGCGTACTCCGCACAATTTAAATGGCTGGATCTGTAAATAAATCTGTGGCAATACAACACAGTCAAGCATTCATTTCCACTGTGTAATCAAGCTGTGTGTTTGGTGTAAAAGTTTTTTGAAAAAAGCAGTGATTCATTGTTTTTTGAAGATTTGCATGACAAATAATGCAATGGAACTCTCTTCCAAGAGAGACTTGTATGCTCATAAATCTTCATTCAGCAATGTGTAACTCACACAATTGGATCAGATGTATATTTTCTGCCTTCCTCTATTCTCGAGACTTTCTGTTTAAAATACACTTTAGAGTATTTAGCATAATAGAAATATAGACAAGAGGAACTGAAATGGGCATTTTCTAAAACATTAAATATCAGATCCTCTTGGGATTAAACAATGCAGTATGTGGTTGATAGAAGGTTCTAAGGAACACAAATAACAGAGCCAACATGTTCAATGTGGAGACCCTAATTTATAACAATCTCCTTTATAAGAGCTGCTTGTACTGCTTAGCTCTGCTAATGTTTGCATGAAGCCTATAGACCACTAGGAAGGACTCTGGCTGCAACTGAGAGGTCAAAGGACACTTATGGAAACTACATGGAAATTCTAAACATATGCAAATGTTCTGTATTTCTAAGAGCTGAAAAAAGCTTTAGAGGAGAATGTGTTAGTCGGAAATGCTGACAATTATACTGTACATACTGTACATGGCTGGTAGTGGTAGCTGAAATTAAAAAATACACAACAGTTGTCCACTGTTTTGCAAATACTTTGAACATCAAAATCCTTATCTTGGTCGCTTACTGCGGTTATTTTGGAAAACGTTTTGACGTTCTTGTTCTGACTATATTAAAATGTATATACTTTAAAGTTATACTTTACAAGCTATAATGTTTTAACCTTTTCTATGAATACTCGCTGTCGTTATTGCAATGAAAAACTGAACTTTAGCAAATCTGCTTAGTAAGAAATATAAAATGGAATTGGGCAACTAAATAAATTAATCACAATAAATTCATTTAAGGATCTAAATATAATATACTGTATTTATATAGTTCAAAGTATTACTATATTCCACTTTCTTTGTAAACATCTGCACCAATTTCTTTGACTCATTCACTCATGGTTATTTTGAAAACATTTTAAGTAGTCTGTTTCCACAATCTTTCTAAGTGATGATTTGGTACGATGGATTTGGTGCGTGCCTATCAACTCAGACATCCATGTTTGATTCCCCGTCAGGGTACAAGGTTTTCTTTTAACAAATACAGACTCATTACAAAAATAAATAAATATAATGTACACTATATTTGCATTTAATTATTTTATATATCAGTATGGAGATGTTAAATTATTTCAATAAGTTTAAAATATAAATGAGTAAATGGGAATGCTGTCTACAGTGGGAGTAAAAACCAGCTCAACTGCATTCCAGTGGGGACAATTTAAGACAAGCTTTTAAAAGAAACGAGAAATCAAAATCATATGTATTATAATTATAAATAACAAATTAACAAAAATAACAAAGTGGTTTTAAAAAGACCACTGAAATTGAACTATAATAATGTATTTTATTATTAACAAAACAAAATTATTTATAATAAATAACAATTTCAACCTGCTTGCATTTTGTTTATGGGCATTTGTCACTGTTTTCACAGCCTTTGCTTTCTTATTAGCGGCCTATTTTTGAGAAACAATGTTTCAGTTGTCGTGGAGTCTTTATCAAAGAAGAGCCAGGAAAGGTGTTCTCATTCACTCAGTAAGGCATTTATTCATATTGCGCAATAGGGAAAAACAGCAACCACAAGTCTGTGAAGCAAGTGGGAGCTGATTTCCAAAGTAAAATAGGGAAAGGTCCCTTATTTTATACACTTAGCTGATGCAACACCTCAACTTGTTTACTTCATTATGGTTGGTTAGTAATACAAAGACAGGCTAGGCAGTAATTTTCAAGTCCTTATAGGTCTTACTTAGCCTTGAAGGACAGAGAAGACAGCTACGGGCAGTTTCACTTCCTCCTCTTTGTTGGTGCAGAGATAAACATATTCTTAGAACAACCCATGCCCTTGACTCGCTGGGTACAATCACACTTTGTTCTAACATCACAGCCCTGCCCGTAAATGACATTTTTAGGATAAAACACTTTTCTTCAGTAACTTTCCATTACACAGTTGTCGAAAACTTTGCAAACAAATGACACAGAGCCTTCAAAGCACAGGCATTTTAAAGACTGCAATTTGTGAAAATTTTCACAACTTTTATATAAACAACATCTAGTACCTGTTCCATTTTTAGAAACCTTATTTTGAATAAAGCAAATCCCAGGAGTTAGCAAGTTCATTACGCAAGAAACAATTATGCCACCTTTTTTATGCATCAGTTGAAACATTCTGAGGTCTCTTAAAAACATAAAAAAATGTAAAATAATACCGTACAGCATGATGGACAAGTGATTATTTTAATGTTTTAAAGAAAACCAAAAACAAACAATAATGTGTCCCAGCCTAAATTGAACATTGCATGACTTTAAAAGGTACAAAATACGATGTTATAATATTAAACACCACTTATTTTGCATGAAAAGTGGTTGCTTTACAATGATATGCCTTTGTTTCTTATTTTTGATTTTCTTTAAAAAAAAAAACAATATATAGTTGGGATGCGTATCTGGGGGCTTGTTCGGGATCATTGACCTGTTTTGTGGAACCGATATTTTTTCCTTGGTTCACGAGTCCAATTGGGATTCTTTTAATAATAATAAT